TGACAAAAGAAAAACCGGGGGGGGGGGGGGGGGGGGGGGGGGGGGGGGGCAGGGATCTGTGTTTGTGTCGAAAAGGGCCAAATAGGGTGAGTGCCGGGGGACTGGTTATGTATACTTCTGATCTGAAAATTATCATTAGAACTGGATCGAGCATCCTTTTGGATGGACCTCCTCAATGGACCATTCCCCTTTAACTCAACAAGTCTGGACAAAAATGTCATCACAGCTTCAAAGAGCATCACAAAATTACTTATATTCGAAAGTTTCGTTGCAAAATGTTGTAAAATGCGGATAATATTTATATAACTTTGCGAAATTTGCAATTTTCTGTCATTTTAGATTACAAACGGGAAATGGTTACCACTTCTGTGCGTAATACAAAATGACTGAAAATTACAAACTTCGCAAGGCTATATTATCCGCATTTTACAACATTTTGCAATGAAACTTTGGAATATTACTAATTTTCTGATGCTCTTTTCAAGCTGTGATGAAATTTTTGTTTAGGCTAGTTAAGATCAAAATTTTGGAAAAGTGGTAACCATTTCCAGTTTGTAATCTAAAATGACTGAAAATTGCAAATTTCGCAAGGCTATATTATCCGCATTTTACAACATTTCGCAACGAAACTTTGGAATATTACTAATGTTGTGATGCTTATTCATGCTATAATGGCATTTTGTCTATAGACTTGTTGAGATCAAAATTTTGGTTAATTGGGGAATGGTCCATTCTGATATAAGAATATCTAAGTATTTTTTTAAGTCTGTCAAAATCTCAGCAAATCGGATTGGGACGAGTTTAACAGTTAATTATTAACGCAAAATCCGTGCCATTTTCAAAGATTTGTCCCAGTTCTAGGTCCTTGAATTTACTGAAAAAGGGCCTTGGAAGTACTGGAAAAGTCTTTGAATTTCACCTTAACCAAAGGGTGGACAACCAGGTTTAAATTAGCTACATTATCAAGGAAATATCTTTTCCAATGGTCCTCGAAAGATACAGCTGGCCGCAGCTGTTCTAATGAGTTTTAGAACGCTTTAAACACTAGGTAATTACATGCTTTTTGATGGCCTCCGGCAACGTTTAATATTAGCCGTAACCTATATGAAATGTAAAGAAGCGAATCTGTCAGCTAAATTTTTTGCTATTGTTTTCAGAGATGCAGAGCCCATAATTCGTCATGAACAATTTCGTATGTTTGCCTGTATGAACCCAGCAAATGATGTAGGGAAGAAAGAGTTGCCTGCTGGAATAAGAAATCGTTTCACTGAGATATTTGTAAGCGAGCTGCAGGACATTCCTGATTTAAACACATTAGTTTTTAGCTATCTCCAAGGATTATCACCACCTGTCCCATTGATTAATGGTATTGTAAGGTTAGTACGAAGCTGCAGACTATTATGCCGTTTACGTAATACTGTACAAGGCTTTCCTAGCTCGGGATTTAAGAATGAGTTCGAATATAAATTACATGCACCAAGTATATAGGAATATCAGTTTTGTCAAAAAAGTATCTTATGTTTTTAGGCTACTGATCTTCGCTCTTTGCCTTTGGGTATTATATTTTTCAAATATATTTTTAACCAGTTTAAATATAAAGTATTTGCATGTTCAAGTTACTGGGAGTTTTTTCATTGTGTTTTTATTGCCGTTAAAACTTAAGAAGCGAATAACCATAGGTCTCCCGAAAAGGTCTTTTATTTAAAAAAAATCCATACAATTTGCTTTAAAATACAATGCTTTGACATGCAATGCTTCAATGTACAGTAAAACCTCTATAATTTGTATTACCTGAAGTACGTGCAACATCACAATAGGGTTGTGTCATTATGTACACGGCAAAAAACGCCGAGACCGTTGCTCAACAGGACTGAACAATGTTTTGCTGCCCACGTTGTTCACACTTGTCAACAATATTGAACAATGTTGTTGAGCCTGAATCGGGTGTAACAATATTGTTCAATGTTGTTGACAGCTATGAACAATGTGGGCAGCAAAACATTGTTCAATCCTGTTTTCATCAGTATTGCATCAACCTGAGCGTTTTTTGCCGTGTAATATATATCCCCAAGGTTGGCAAGTAAATACAAATTTAAAACTGTATACACAAACTTAATGACGAAAAACTCGTACATAAACATCGAAATTCATTAAAAAAACTAACTCACTATGGTGAGAAATAACTGTAATACTTCTATATTGTGTTTTTTTTTTCACTTTTAAACGAGTTAATTTTGCGAAAATGCCGAGGAAAATTCATCAAATTCGTAACTCAATTTGATCAAAACTATGCGGGATGATGGCTCCCGGCGTTACGTCACAAAATAAAGCTCTCTGATTCGCTGGGAAATTTCAGCCAGCCAATCGGAGAGTTTTTTTGAAATTTTAAACATTTTCAGCAAATCAGAGAGCTTTATTTTGTGACGTAACGCCGGGAGCAGTCATCCCGCATAGTTTTGATCAAATTGAGCCATTTTCCTCGGAATTTTCGCAAAATTAACTCGTTTAAAAGTGATGAGAGAAGAAAAAAACACAATGTAGAAGAATTACAGTTAGGCTATTTCTTACCATAGTGAGTTAGTTTTTTTAAGGAATTTCGATGTTTATGTACGAGTTTTTTCGTCATTAAGTTTGTGTATACAGTTTTAAATTTGTATTTAGTTGCCAACCTTGGGGATATATATTACACGGCAAAAAACGCCGAGCCCGCTGCTCAACAGGACTGAACAATGTTTTGCTGCCCACGTTGTTCACACTTGTCAACAATATTGAACAATATTGTTGAGCCTGAATCGGGTGTAACAATATTGTTCAATATTGTTGACAGCTATGAACAATGTGGGCAGCAAAACATTGTTCAATCCTGTTTTCATCAGTATTGCATCAACCTGAGCGTTTTTACGCGTGTACACAATGACACAACGCTATTGTGATGTTGCACGTACTTCATGTAATACAAATTATAGAGGTTTTACTGTACATTGAAGCATTGCATGTCAAAGCATTGTATTTTAAAGCAAATTGTATGGATTTTTTTTTAAATAAAAGACCTTTTCGGGAGACCTATGGATTAACTTGCTGTTTTGTCGTTCGCCAAACTTCGGTAATTCTTGCGCTGCCATCTTGTTTTCTTTGTTAGCAAGATATGAGCTAATATCCTGCTAGTAAAGAGCCAATAAGATTACAGAATAGCTTACTGTATATGCGGTAGTAGCCTCCTCCGCAGGCATCTCTTTAGTTATTCAAATAAATAACCGATGTTTTTCTGATTGGGCTCCCTGTGGAGGGAGATGCGGTAGCTGTTTATATAATAATTTCAGATATTTGAGCACGGAAGTACACGTCCACAAATCAGGGATGGATCCAGCATGATCTGGTAGGGCGGGGGGTGGGGGGGGGGTGCTCTGGTGCCGACTGCCGAGTTGTGTCGGTCATGTGTGCTGCCCGCCCATCAACTACTGTATTTGAATTGTAACTGTTGTTCACAGTTCACTTATCATCATGTTATTACTCAAATTACTGTATCTCATTTTGTCTTTTTTTGCGTTATCATACAAATAGCTGCCCCCCCCCAGTAAATCCATCCCTGCCACAAATTGTTAACATGTTTGAATGAAGTCGTACACAATCAAAATTGATTCACAAAAACACGAATTGTTATTGAGAAAATTGAATATTTACCCTTTAAGTGCCAATGCTCCGGGATGCGCCCCAATTTAAGTTTTTATTTCACTCTGTCTAGCACCATATTATTTTACTTTTCAAGGGGAAAGTGCTGCCCATAGAAATAATAGATTCAATAGATCTATTATTTATATGGTGCTGCCACTCAATGGGTTAATCAGACCATGCATGTGCGTCTGACACTTCACGAGAGTTGGAAACTTTGTTATGCTTGAATATAGTTGAAAAAAGTTTTAAAAGGCACTTGTCTGACATATGAATTATCGAGCAGAAATGTGACCCTATTGGTTAATTGAGCGCTATGGTATAATAATTATAGCATTATTTTATTTTAGTTTTTATCTGTTAATTCGTGAGGAGTCTGCTCAGAAGCTGACTGACGGAAGTGGAAATCGACCGTATTACAGGTACTTAATGGTGTTTGCTAATTATCAACAATTGTACATGAGTGATTTAAAAGTTTGCATGCTTAATGTGGCCTTGGGTAACATTAGCCGTAACCTATGTGAAGTACTATTTAAAACACGAGAAGTTCGAGTGTTTTGAATAGGTTAAAATACGACTACAAAAGAATACTATAATTAGGATGAACAATTATATAATCATACTAATTAGGATGAACAATTATATAAGGAATACTAATGAAGATGAGTTTTATCAGATATAAAGTCACTCCACGTGACATATTATGGCTGACATGATTTGCCACAAGGTTTATGAATTATTAATGAGTATTTTAAATGTAAAGAAATGAATCTCAGTTTTCAGAATGGTCTAAAAAAGGATATTACAGTACATCCATAGTTTGTATATAATGCCCTTGGCTATGGTACACTTGCATTACAGACTTGAATAAGTTTAAGCTCATCATACTTTCGAGAAAAAATGTATGTCTGAGTGTTTTTAACATTTACTACCCTTTGAGATTCGGGTTGATTAATATCCGTCAAAAAATAAAGTTGTGCATTTGAATTGTGGCAATTCTGAGACATGAACATCTGTATATATAACATAGCCAAATTTGTTTCGTTTTGGGTTTTATGAAATTTAATGACCCGCAACCATCATTCCTTTTTAGCCTTCGAACTCTGTGTCGAGCTTTGAAGTACGCTTCGCGGAATCTTCATGGCAATATACTGCGCTCAGTGTATGAGGTAAGAAATATAATGCATATAAGAAGTACGTTTTCTATCGTGAGTCTTCTACATGGTATTCTTGCGAAGCCAAATTTCAAAGTTTATGACTCTAAATAAGTAATAACCCATCATCCCTTACGCGCTCAGATTTAAGGTTTAAGTTTTTGGAAGGACAACCTTAATTGAATTAGCTGTATACAGAAAGAGCTGCATTGGTTTATCAGGCTTATGGGAAATTGTGTGGATTGCTAAACTATAACTGCTAAAATAGTCCCATGCACACGAGTGTGTGAATGCAGTATGGTTGTCTACATAACAAAGCAGTTATTCTACTCACTACTGGATTCGTAGAATAACTGTTAAATATCTTGTATTTGTCTTCCAGGGATTTTGTATCAGTTTTCTAACCCAGCTGGACAGATCATCTCACAACATTGTCGAGACCTTACTGCAAGAGAAGCTTCTTGGCCATGTAAATGCACGAAGCTTAGTTAATCAACCGTTGCGGAAACCTGATCTAAAGAACGAAAAATTCCTAAACTTTGAAGGGTATTGGATTTGCGAAGGAAATCTCGAGCCAACTCGGTCATCTGAGTATGTTTTCACGTCTACAGTAAAAGACAATTTGAAGTGTTTGGCCCGGATTGTATCAGGAAGGTTTGTTTGTTTTTGTGTATATGCTAATTGTATTTAAAAGCAGCAAATGTTTCAGGCAAACGTAAATCTGGTGCATGGTAGCATATTACAAAAAGGCACTCCAGTGGTGTAAAACTGAATGATAACAAAGGAGGCTCTTAAAGAGGGGGGTACAAGACGTGAGGGTGATTTGGCGTGGAGGGTGCACCCATTACATCAGTGGGGGCAAAATGATCAACATGGAAAGACACAGTATTTATTTTGGTTCTATTCTTCAATTAGTGTTTTTTGAAGAAAGGACTTAAGTACTATTTAAAACGCGAGGCACAGCCGAGCGTTTTATATCTGATAAAACACGACAACAAGTGTTTTAAATAGCTTAAAATACGACTACAATAGAATATTAAGTAGGACGAACAATTATATAATCATACTAATCAGGATGAACAATTATATAAAGAATAGTAATGAAGATGAGTTTTATCATATATAAAGTCACTGCACGTTACATATTATGGCTGACATGATTCGCCACAAGGTTTATGAATTATTAACAAGTATCTTAACTTCAAACAAAAGATTCTGATATGCCGAAGTTTTCATGTTGGAGCCACATATATGACCTAATGGTATTATCATAATCACGAACATATTACTGACTTCATTACCGCATTATTTCAGCCCTACAGTTGCAAAGAATTTTTCAGAAAATAAATTTGCAATCTGAAAAAAATATTGCATGGGAGATTAGCGCCAAATCCGGCATGAAATTTTTAACAAGGGGGCTCAGCCCCCAAGCTGCTAAAAAGAGGTGCTGAACCTTTCCCTTTATACACCACTGTGCCACCCACAAGATCATGGGAAACAGATTACAATGGTTTGAACATACTACTTAAATGGTCTGGACTAGAATTACGTAAAGGTTTACTGTATAAACTGATACTAACTTTTCCTTTGCTATCAATTGTGCCCACAATTAGTTTTGCCATCTGAAATTGGGCATTTCTTAATGTGACGTAATATTCTTGCAAGAGCTGAATACATAACTTTGAATGTACCATTTGCATTATAGACTAAATTTTGATCTAAACAAGTGAAGACAAAAATTTCGTTGCGAAATGTTGTAAAATGCGGATAATATAGCCTTGCGAAGTTTGCCGTTTTTCAGTCATTTTGTATTACGCATGGGAAATTGACAGCCCAAACGGGTGTTGAGGAATCAATTTCCTTTTTGTAATACAAAATGACTGAAAATTGCAAACTTCGCAGAGCTATATTATCCGCATTTTACAACATTTCGCAACGAAACTTTGGAATATTACTAATTTTGTGATGCTCTTTCAAGCTGTGATGAAATTTTTGTCTAGACTTGTTTAGATCAAAATTTAGTCTATAATGCAAATGGTCCATTTTTGCTCGTTCAAAAACGAGGTTTAAAGAGTTTAAAATACATATCTTCTATGCTAAAAATATGACCTCAATTTCGACATCTTTCAATATTGAGCCGAGTGCGATCATTGTTTGAAAATGAAAGTATGAAACATGTTGTTTTCTAGGGATTTTCCCGTGTTAATCCAAGGTGAAACATCCGTTGGTAAAACCAGCCTGATTAATTGGTTAGCAAAGACGAGTGGCAATTACTGTGTTCGTATAAATAACCATGAACATACGGATATTCAAGAGTATTTAGGATGTTACACCTCTGATGCGTCTGGAAAATTGGTCTTTAAAGAAGGTATCACAGTGCATTTCAAGTCCTTTTCTTATGATCTTATAGAATGGTACTGAATTACCTGTAGGAAACCTGCTTTGTTCGGTTGAATCAAATTGGAAGCACTTTTCGCATGTGCCAAAGAGATAAAACTATAATCAAAAGTATATTTACTTTTGATTATAGTTTTTCTAACTTTCCCTTACAATAGCTTCCTTTCAATAATATATTCTTGTGTTCTTCATAACGACCAATAACAAGGCTTAATTTTTTTAATTTAACGTCAACGGTTACAAGCGTAGACGTTTATTATAGTTTTAACGGTTTTAGATCGCAAATTGTAATTTTTTACCTGATCATGGAGTAAACTCCGAAACGTCGTTTTAATTAAAAAAATTTAAGCCTTGTTATTGGTCATTATAAAACATAAGAGAATATATAATAAAAAGCTTTATATGAAGGAAACGAACGCATTGACAAAAGGCATATGCATTAATTAATCACGTTTCCGTAGACACAGTTGTATATATCATAGTCACTTAATTGCAGGAATTCTTGTCGATGCGATGCGAAAAGGATATTGGATCATACTGGATGAACTCAATCTTGCACCAACCGATGTTCTGGAGGCTCTCAACAGGGTAAATCATTACGTTAAGTTGAGAATGACAGATTTAGATTTAATTTGGATGGAAATATGTGTTAAGATGTCATGATACTAATCTTGACAACGAAATTAAGTCAAGGAATCTCAAAACCACAAGCGAATTCTCAGTTTAAATATAGAGGAGAACTTGACTATTTTGTGGTGAAATTGATGAGCAAAGGGCATCCTTTATGGGCTCGTTTTCCCACTGACATTATTTCTCGTTCCCAAACATCAACGTATATATATAGCCTATATATAGGCTATATATGTTTCTAGAACTGCACAATGGAACTGTGTAGACTCGGAAAATGTTTTCTACTTCTTAAATTTTATGATATTATTTAGGTATGATACTTTATCTAAATTTCTCTCTATGCTTTTCATTTTGTCTGTTCACGTCACTACATAACAAGTTGTTTTTTATAGCTTTTGGACGATAACCGTGAACTTTTTATTCCTGAAATTCAAGAAACCGTGAAAGCACATCAGAAATTCATGCTGTTTGCAACACAAAACCCACCCGGCCATTACGGAGGAAGAAAGGTATACTATTAAAATATCACATTCTGTGTTCCGATTAAATAAACATTGAAGATACAGTACTCTACAATTTATAATTTTGAAGTGTCTGTGCCAGTGTATAGGTGGTGCCAATAATAACAAGCTTTCGTTGGTTGGCATGCAACGAGCTGAAAAATATAAAGTGAATTTCGACGTTTCGAGCGAAGGCCCTTCGTCTGGAGTTAATTCGCCTTTTTCCAAAAGAGATCATTGCAGGGCATTCAGGGATCGTTTGGAGGGACAAAAATTATGGTGACACGTGTCAAATATGTTTAGACGACCAAAAATGAAACGTCTCCCTTTTACATTAAACATTTAATTTAAATGTGTGCCGTCATATTTCTTGTCCCTCCAACATGGGATTCGCGCGACTAGACCCAGGACTATCGGAAATTGCTAATTGCAGGGGTTGGGAAGATTACATGAGCTTTTATACTAAGAATATAAAAGCGATACCGTGACAAAACGTAAACCAATCAGATGGATTTAGTCCAAACAAAGTATAAACAAAACTGTAAGTCACATTACAGAATATAGTAATACAAATATACAGACAGCAGGTTCATTGATGCCATATAGGGGTGGACAGTGTCAAGTTTGGAAATGAGGCGCATTTCATGGCTTTTGCGGCTATCGTTGCTTCCAGAAATGGGACAAAGGGCTCGATTTCCATATCTGAGACACTGTGATTGCCAGTATTAAAAGTCTGGCAACAGGCTGGTTAGCATCATTGCCAATGACTGCACGCCGATGCTCACCAAACCTTGTCCTCAAAGATCTTCCAGTTTCCGCAATGTAAAGCATGTCATGCACATCTACTGCGTAAGATGCAGTAGATAAGATGGGAGGAGGTGCACGTGAAAGCCATGGCGCCATAGAGATTTTGGTGCCGAAATGGTGGTGGCAGAATCTATAAGATTTTGCATTTAGCTTTTTACCCCATTAAGATGCACTGTGCCCTAATGCACCGCCCAAAACCATCTCTTTGTTTTCAGGTCTTGTCAAGAGCTTTCAGAAACAGATTCGTGGAGCTTCATTTTGAAGAACTTCCTAGTAAAGAACTTGAAACAATCTTACATAAAAGATGCAATCTACCAATGTCTTATTCCAAGACACTTGTTAATATCATGCTGGAATTGCAGGTATGTGGTTTTGATGTAGACATATTTAATAACAAAAAGGAAAAAATATATTTACAACAAAGTTGCAAGTTTGAGTCAAAAGCATTTCGTTTATCTCTTATGACTCTCACGATACCCACACTGATAATTTACATTTTATTCGAAATAAATAATTTAAACGGGAAAATCCAAGTCTAAGACGAGTATGTAAAATTGAAGCAAAATTTTCAAATCGATGTACGGGGTGTTCTGATGTAGAGTAGTTGGTGTTCTTGGTTCTAAAACGTGGGTATCCATTGTACGTTGTATTCTGAAATAAGAATACGAAACGGAAACATTCATTATTTGTTTTATACGACACCAAGATATACACCCTGAATAGTGAATAATTGTTAATTATCAAGGTGTCTGTATATTAAGTTTTTCTCGACCTTGATAATTTTGGATATTACAAACCCTCATTCAGTAACTGTTTATTAATCGCCTATTTGTCAAAATTCCAGGTTCGTCGACGTGGATCTACAGTATTTCGAGGCAAACAAGGTTTCATTACACTACGAGATTTGTTCCGCTGGGCGGACAGATACAGTAAATCACAAGATAGTGAAGGAACATTCTTTGACTGGAACCAGCAACTCGCTGAGGATGGTAAGATATTTAAGATTTAGGAATTTCTATGATTTATTATACAGTATTGTACGTCAAATTAAAATTGTCCAATCAGAAAGCAGCATTTGTACCACGTAACGATGTGAGCTTTTACGGTATTTCACTCATTCATGAATTCGCAATGCAGCGTGCAATATTATAATATCTCACGGTGGCTCTACCGTGGGATATTATAGTATCTCACGCGTGTGACGCGTGGACACCACGCGCTGAAACAACTTGGCGTTTGCGGGCTGTTGTTTGTAATTTCGTATAAAAGATTTATTGATTTAACTAAAGATTTTCAAGAGCTACAGTATGTTACGTTCAATGATCCAAAGGATACAAGCTCACATAAATGGGAAACGTCAAAAACTCGGGTATAAATAAGAAATTAATCATCAGCAAGTTTATTCTCAACTTAGTGGATTGTTTAACTTTCGGTATAATATATCATTTATATACTCTCACTTCGGGTAATATTTCATCGAACCCCCCTCGCTCCTGGTCGGTAAATGATGATAATTGCTGACATAGCGGGATAGTAATATTTTAATTGACGCTCTTGTTTCCTTAATTTGTGCCAATTTCCTTGACCAATTTATGTATAATCAGCCATGTGGTATATTTTGGATGATGTTGAACAATCTTTCCAGTCTTATATGACAATTTACCACATGATTATTGTATTGTGAACTTATAATATAAATTGATATTTTTGCAAATTGGAAGCAAGACTGGATTATAGGCGCAAGAGGTATATATTAATGCTCTTGGAATGGAAATTTACATGATTGCTCTAGAGTATCTTGTTTATGTCCTTTCAATTCGCGCACGCGGAATACTATGGATGGAAATTGATATCCTACTTGAAGACACAAATATTTGTTGTTCTTTCCAGTTTTAGAATTAATGAAAAATGTTTTTGTTTGCAGGATATTTGCTGCTTGCTGGCAGATGTCGTAATGCCCAAGAAACACTTGTTGTTCAAGAAGTCATTGAAAAAAACACGAAGAGAACGATTAATGTCGACTGTCTCTTTGGCCATCCTTCAAAAACAAATTTATCAAGTTTTTCAGAGAAAATTCTCAAGGAACTTATCAATAACTGTCCAGAAGAGTTTGGTCATGTTGTGTTTACGTACAATATGAGACGCCTAGCTGTCTTAATTGCTCGGGCTTTACAGTTTAATGAACCTGTTTTGCTGGTAGGAGAAACAGGGTAAGTCATATGACACAATTAAATACGAAAACTTTCCGTAATGGCTATAGCTACTATTTTCAACAGCTTATTGCCGAAATGGATAATAAATTATTACTTGCTGGGGCACTGTGCCCAGGCAAGTATACTAGGTTTCGGCACGCATTTTTGGTGGATCGTCGTCGATAACCACAAAATAGAATATTAATGAGCTGCCATTTTTTACCCAATACATTTAAAATTGTAGCTAAATGCATGAACTAGAATATAAAGCAAAATAACGTATAATCTACTGCAAAACAATTATAGGTATTGAACAGTCTTCGGTGCAAATACACGATATAGACTTCTTGTGGAGGAAAGACCCTGGTATGAGCTGCTCATGTAATATCTTGGAATCCTTTTAAAATCAAATCACTGAAACTTTCAAAACAAAATGCAAGTTATAAATTAAACTATAAATATCAAATATTTATCAACATCTTCATCATCAATTAAAAATCTGCTAGATTTTACCCTATCACACGTGACCAGCTTCTGTCAGGGTCTTCAAGCGAGAATGGGAGCCTAGGAACGAGGTTGAAGAAGAGGCCGTCTATTACGATGTTTTACTCTGATCTTTTGAACAGTTAGCATTACGTCGCACTTGTTTACTTTCAGATGTGGAAAGACAACAATTTGCCAAGTATTCGCAGCCGTTCAGAAGAAGAAACTATATGCGGTCAACTGTCACTTACATACAGAGACCTCGGACTTTCTTGGTGGTCTACGTCCTGCACGACGGGAGAAAAATGCTGATAAGGTAGGGATGACTGACGTACTGTAGCTCATGAATAAAATTTACGTTTGGATGTGGTTATTTTTACGTGACCAAACGATAATGTACCCAAAGTACGCGAAGAAACACACATCTTGTAGCAAACCTGCGGCAGACTTGTAACACTGCTATTGCACACAACAACTTGTTATCAGAATGTGTTAATTACACTGCCTGTTCCCAGCTTGTTGTCATGTTATTGACAATTTTCTACAAAGGCTTGTTGACAACTTGCTACAAAGTTGTTGAACTCGACAGACTTGTTACAAGTTGTTCCAACAACTTGTTGTCGTCCGGCTACTCACCAACTTGTTAGCAATTCGAGAATGACAATCTTGTAGCAAATTGATGGCAATCCCAGCATGCAGTTGGCAGGTTTTTATTATAACCCCACGAAGTTTTAAAAGCCAAAACAAAAAGGCTTGTAGTATAGCTTCGCTTTTGCATATAACATTGACCTCGGTCTGAGCAATAATCGAGATAGAATCGAGAGAGTTCAAATTAGGAGAGCGACCAAATGGATATGGAGAGTGAAATGTCATATAAACAGCGAGTGTTGACATTGGACCTACTACCCGTTTTGTAAGATAGAGAAATTAAAGTCCTCACATTATTTTTTTAAGGTTCTGTATGACTATATTAATCTTAACATAAACCATTATGTGATTTTCGTCGGACATGGCCGTACTATAGACTCAGCCAGGATGATATAGTGTTCTTTAAACTCCTATGTGTCGAACTACTACTTTCCAATCATCTTTCTGTAACCTTATAGTCAAACCCTGGATCAGAGTGTGTAAGGTTGTTGATCCTGACACTTTCTCCATCTTTATCGCTTTACACTTCCTATCATATACTTCTTCATTCATTCTTTCATTTAAGAATTTTTGATATACATGCAATGAGTATATGCTAATATGTGTAACATTTCTAATGTGTGAAACATTTCTACATTTAAGTACACAAAATCTCAATTCTTGGCAGGTGCATCCGTTCGTAGTTTGCCTTTTTGGATCTTCGCTTTATAAGTTGTTAATTCTTTTGTAACTGTTATTCTTAGACTTTATAATATATTGAATGCATTATTGATCCAAAGAATTTTTTTGAAATAAACAAATATATATATATATATATATATATCATGCTCGCACTCGTCCAATAGTGGTTTGGTATGGTATAATACAGTGTCTCTAAATTGGCATATTCTGCAATTTTTGGTCCCTATGCTTCAAGCTTTCATTGAAATCACGTAATCAAAGCAAAATTATTTTACCTATACTTTGACAAACTTTGTTCATTAACATTTCATATTTAGGACACGCCAATGAGGCTCTTTGAATGGTGTGATGGTAGTCTGGTGAACGCGATGAAAGAAGGTTGTATGTTCTTAGCGGACGAAATTTCTCTGGCTGATGACTCAGTATTAGAACGTCTTAACAGCGTCTTGGAACCAGAAAGAACTCTCATCATGGCAGAAAAAGGAAGCAGTAGTGACTCTGAGTTTCAGCAAGATATTGACTTGATTGTGGCTGAAAACGGTTTTCAACTTCTTGCCACGATGAACCCTGGAGGAGATTATGGAAAGAAAGAGGTAAGGAGAATTGAGTTGTGGAAATTCAGTAAACGTGATAGAAATAATCAACTATCAGGTGTCTCTCGGTGGATTTCCACTAAAGGTGGATTTCCACTCTTCGCACAAAGCTGCGAGTGCATGCATGAGCACTTTCATCCAATCACAATGCTAAACAGTTAATTTTAATTACATGCAAGCACTCGCAGTGAGCTGCGAGGAGCTTCGTGCGAGGATTGCATGGAAATCCGCCTTACCTAAGATTTTGATATATAGCACTTGAATTTGTCATGCAATGTTGTCGAGTATGGATGTTTGAACGTTGAAGAACTGTTTTTCAAAATGCCAAACAATTGTGATAGCTTTTCTAGCTTTTACGTTACACAAATCAAACGGTGTCCAGTTTTTTGTTTTTTTTTAACACACGGTAGTAGTGTTGATAACACTGTTTCTAGAACATATGGCGTATGTGACTGGATTTCGTTCCTACATTCTGTATGCGCTTCAATTCCCCTCATGCAGTCGTATGAGAAAACAGTTCGAGTTACAAACTGTTCGAGCGTATGCAGCTATTATATGCGAAGTTTTGTTTAGTTTGTTTCAGGGGTGGAAATTTTTTTTCTTTCTGGGAACCTGGGTCAAATGCTAGAAATTTTCTTAGGCCTTAGGCTGGCTTTCGTATGCTCGTACATCGCTATGCTATGGTTTTCTATTATATACCACAGTTATGCGTTATGACCAACTAGTAAGGACCTAACGCTTAAGTGTCCTATAATCTTATTTATTCCATCACTTGACTTTTTGTCTGATTTGCATTTTTTGTTATAATGTTATGATTATTCTAGTATTATACCAGTATAATAATCGCATTATAGCACTGGGACTTGAAGCTTATTTCATTGCATATTTTATTTGTTTACTAATTTTATCTCTCATAAAGTATCTCCATGGTATCTTGTTTTCAGCTTTCTCCAGCATTACGAAACAGATTCACAGAGATTTGGTGTCCAGCTAATGATGAGGCAGCGGATACGATCGACATTATTGAACACAATTTATCTCCTGGGATCCCATTGAAACCTCAGCCAGATGGTAAGCCTGGTTTTGTTGGTGTTGGTTTTGTTCGTGTTGGTTTTGGTCGTGTTGGTGTTGGTTTAACAAAACAGGTTTCGGTTTTGTTGGGTTTTGCTTATAGGTTTTGTTTGTTTTGTATGTTATAATACAAAACAATAGATACTCCGAAAATTGAAAGCATTTTGAAAAATTTATTTCGACGCTTCGACTAAACGTTTCGTCGAAATAAATTTTTTAAAATGCTTTCAATTCTTGGAGAATCTATTGTTTCGTATTTTATCAAAATACTCAGTGTTTCCCGTAATTTTTGTATGTTATGTTTATTTTGTTTTGATTGTCCATAATAATTGTATATTTCCATACAATGGATTATAGTATGGAAATAGTATGCATGGATATACTATGGATTTAGTGGTGCAATTGCAAATTTCGTAGTATGGATTAATTTCACATTTTCCCCCCTAGTGATTTCTATATTTGTTTGTTGGTTGTTTAGTTGTCTGTTGGTGTGTGTGTATGTTTTTTTGTCTGTTTGTCTTTCACTCTCCTCACAGAAAATCTAATTACAAAAACATCTCTATGTTACTGTAATCATCTCATTCTTCTTTGCTTTTAGGTTCCTCTGGTATTGGACGTGCTATGATAGAATTTATTCAATGGTTTAAACAGAGTAACTTTGCAAAACGGTACGAATTTTGACTGTGAGAGTGTCACCAAAAATACTTTGGATTGCAACTGTCCTTGGTCCCAATACAGACGTAAAAATCTCACAATTTGTCAACAAGATGTGTTCGCAACATGCTTGTACCAGATTTGTCAACAAGTTGTATCAATGCTCTTATTTTATCAAGTTTCTTCAAGCTTGTCGCTTACAACTTCTTGACGAATTGTTGAATTGTAGGACGTAAATAAGTTGTTGGAATAAGTAGCAAGTTGTCAACAAGTCATGGACAACTTACTACAAGGTTGACAACTTGTCAACAAGTTCTGAACAAGCAGTGCGAACTCATCCTCAACAGCATTGCTACACGTCTTCTGCTGGTTTGTTACAACTTGTGAGTTTTTATACATGAAGATAAGACCATGTTTACCAAGATGCAGAACTGAATGAGGAAAGCTAAGATTTCACTATCAAGCAATCGCGAGAATAGAAATATTCTTTCAGATACTTTTTTAAGAGTACATTGATGAAAGAACTATCTTGCAGTTAATTGGGTATAGGGCCATGCATACGGACGATTATGGGACTTCGTCATTATTTTACAAAATGTATTATGTATATGTATATAGAGGACCTTGTTCAAAAGCACCTAAGGAGCTTTCCTCTTAGAATATTTATTTAAAAAAGTTTTTTTCTTATAGGTGCATTGTAACAGTTCGTGACTATCTTTCGTGGGTGCAATTTATCAATGTTTGTTCCTCGACAAACAGTACTGATCAACACACACTGCTCGAACCGTCGCAAGCTTACTTTCATGGCGCTTTCTTGGTATTTCTCGATGCTTTAGGCCTTGGGAGAATGATAAATAGTCAGAGCACAAACTGCGCTCGTGAGTTTTTGTTGAATCAGATAAAAGGTTTTGACGATCATAACAATGCGACGATTAAAGCGATGGAGACGGAAAATGATAATAATAATGAGATGTTTACCTTTGGTGGTTTTTCTATAGCGAGAGGTAGGTCCAGTGGTCCATCCAGCAAAGTGTTGGGGGGGGGGGGGTGTATAACCATAGGTAGCCCAACAGCTAGGCATGTTTTTTAAAATGTTTGACTAAAATATTCTAACTTTTAATCGTTGGGAAGTGAGTCACTAACTTCACATTCACAACGAAGGGCCTTCGCTCGAGACGTCAAATTTCTCCTTGTATTTTTCAAGTAGTTGCGTTCCTACCAACGAAAGCTTGCAATAAAATCTGTTTAATATTTAGGTCCAGAATTATCTCCAAATATTCATAATCAATATGCATTAAATGCCACAACAACATCTGGAAATGCTGAACGCGTAATGAGAGCAATGCAACTAGATCGTCCCATTTTGCTAGAAGGATCACCGGGTGTAGGAAAGACAAGTTTAGTTTCAGCACTGGCTAAAGCTTCTGGTCATCGCCTTGTTAGAATTAATCTCTCGGAGCAGACGGTAAGGCGAATTGCCTATTAAAATATTTGGTGGATAGGTAACAACGGTTGGGAATTTTTTGCATTATTGTATTGTACTGTACTGTACTATACTGCACTGTACTGTACTGTGTTGTACTGTATTGTGTTGTGTTGTGTTGTGTTGTATTAAATTTGTTATGTGCTGTTTTATGCTGTATCGCGATGGCATCTACTAAGGTAAGGTAAGGTAAGGTATAAGGTAACTTTATTTATCCACGGTGTACTCATCAGGATTAAGATTACATACATATAGCTATATATATAAATAAATCTACAAAATTATGCATAAAACTAATAACACACTACTTACAATATAAATAACACAAGATATAAATTCATACTAAGAAATGACAAAAGAAAAACCTGCTTTACATGAGTGCCGTGCATTAATTAGGTATTACGATCGAGAAGAGAGAAATTTATTACAGCCAGATCGAAACGAATTTAAAGAATTAGCTTGCCTCAACTCAACAGGAAGGCTGTTCCATGTTACTGTGTTGTATTGTATTGTAACGTACCGTACAGTACGTTATGTTACGGTATTGTCCTATCCTTTCCGTCCTATTCTGTACTGTACTGCACTGTACTTTACTCTACTCTACTCTACTCTACTCTACTCTACTCTACTCTACTCTACTCTACCGTGTTGTACTGTACTGTACTGCGCTACGCTGCAGTGCACTGCACTCCACTCCACTCTAATGAATTATACTAGACTGTGTTGTATTGATCTATATTGTACTGCACTGCACTACCTCGTCGGTTTTACAGACGTGTTGTTTATTTTTTGGGTTAATAAAATTATGTCGTAATTTACTCTTTATTTACCAGGATATAAGTGACCTGTTTGGTGCAGACTTGCCAGTTGAAAGCAACCAAGGTTGTCAGTTCTCTTGGTGTGATGGACCGTTGCTACTAGCTTTAAAATCTGGAAGTTGGATTGTACTCGACGAGGTATAAGAATACCATGTTTTATACATTAACTAATTTTAACTCGCCAATGGTTTGCTGCCAAAAATACTAATAGGTAATTAACAATATAATAGTAAAAGTTTCATTGTATCGATTGCGTATATTCTGAATCTTAATGCCGCGAGTAGAAGCTGTTGGGTGAAGAAGGATTTCTGAAAATAACTGTAAAAGAGATTATAAAATCTTTTAACAAGCCTTGGATGTGATCCCGTCTTCGATTGATGATTGAATGCTGTTGTGCAAAACATGCTGTTTTCCCCACATTTCTTCACATTGTTCACAATGTTTTCAGATCATTGCCAACAATCAGAGATTCAAAAACTCAACAGTATCTTCGCCGCTTTTATAATACTATTACCACATATAAGCCCATAATTATAACACCAGTGCGTTTATTTAGAGATTTACCATTACCATTGAAAATTTATTTGACATTTTCTTTTCGTAGCTTAACTTGGCTTCACAATCAGTACTGGAAGGTCTGAATGCTTGCTTTGACCATAGAGGAGAGGTATGTACTGGGTGTTGAAACAACTATTTGTGATATTGCTTCGCATGTGTTAAAAGCCGAAAACAGTTATGCCCACTCTGGCTGGGCTGCGTTTTGATTCTTGCCAGAGTCAACCATAATATGTTATATGCAGTGGCTTTAAACCTGACAAAACACTCCTAATTAGTATTTTTTAGTCTAATAAGGCAATATATCTATTGAATTTGTACCCTACGCTACCCGTATCGGCTACTGTGCTTCTCTTAATATGAATGGCGACTCTCTCTTCCGCAGAGGCTTTTAAAGGAATAAATTCGCAGGAATAAATTTGAAATTGCGCTAGAAGGTATACCAGATACCGTATGGCGATAAAAGATATAATACGTTTTGTTTGTGGAAACACTACGTAAATTTATTACTGCAGTCATGATAAATTTACGAGGTGTTTCCACAAACAAAAAGTATTATGTGCTTCTCTTACTGATAGCAACAGAAGTCATTTCAATATTTCCTATCTCTGTACTTTTGAACTGCTTTTTAAAAATATTTTTACAGATTTTTATCCCTGAACTTGGAATGTCGTTTCAAGTTCAGCGTGGGAGGACCAAGTTCTTTGCGTGTCAAAATCCTTTGAATCAAGGAGGGGGAAGGAAAGGATTGCCAAAATCTTTCTTAAATAGATTCACTCAGGTATGTAAAAGCCGGATCGGCACGACGCTCTAGGAAGATGTTCTGTGATTGGTTGATTATGACAATGACAAAAGAATAAGCTATAGAATGGATTTTCTAAAGAACGAAGCAATATTTGTTTATGTAAATAATTACGCCTTTTGTCATTGTCATAATCAACCAGTTACAGAACATCATTCTTCCTAGAGCTTCGTGTTTAGTGTAAAAGCCGGAACATTGGAGCCACCGGAACAGAAAACCCGGAACGCCGGAACGGAAAACCCGGAACGCAAAAAATTTCAAAGAAGAAATCCCGGAACGCCACTCCTGAGTTTTCTTGAGGTACTATTTAAAACACGAGCAGCAGTGTATGAAACATGAGCAGCAGTGTATTTTCTGCTAAAAAATAACCATTTTTGAGCAGAAAGTGGTGCATTTTTCCGTGTGTAATACTAAAATACTCAAAATTTGCTAATTTCACAGGGCTATATTTTTCGTATTTTACAACATTTCGCTACCAAACTTTTTGCAATTTTACTAATTTTAGGATGCCCTTTCGAGCTATAATGATAGATTTCGTCTTTCTTGTCTAGATAAAAAATTAGGCTATAGTTGGAATCATTCTTTGCAAGTTCTAATAGTATTGACTATTAACTGTACAGTAGTGTTTAATATCGAATTGTGTGTTGAAATTGCAAGCTATAATATCACAAAATGTATATCATAGCTTTAATTGTAACGCTTTGTATTTTGTATCCGCATGAAACTCAATAAAGCTTATATGCGGCATTCTGGGGTTTTTTTTCGAGATTTTTTACCAGTCTGGGTTTTCTGTTCCGGTGTTCCAGCGTACCACGTAACGGCATTTACTGTACTGCCAACCTGTGAGATTTCTAACAGATTTCACAAAAAAATGCCTTTAGTGTTGGTTTAGATTGAAATAATGCTTCTAAAACAAATTAATTTATTCTGTCCAGTAAGGGCAGGATTTGATTCAACCAGGTGGAAAAGAAGGCATCCATCTTGTTTTAGGCCGGCGAACGGCGAATTTCGCCAGCGCTAAGAAGACATTTGGCAGCTATTCGCCAGAGGCTGTGTCTAGTTCGCCGGTACTTGCGGTCATGACAAGCTTAAATTTTTAGCCCGGTCTTGCACTCGGACAATATACCAAATAGACAAAGCTTGCAAGCCTTTGCCCACCACTTAACTTACAGCGCCCTTGAAGCTTCGACCTTCCATTTTTTTGCATGCTCACTTCGCTCATCAATTGCTGGAGCCTCAGTAGAGGAAAACATTATTGACCATACGCAAATTAGTTTTAGCCATGCAGGACTTCAAACGGATACCCGAAGGCGATAAAATGACCTTTTTTTTTTTACTTTCTTATTTGTAATTCCAGGTATATGTAGAACCATTGACGCATGATGACCTGTCATTCATTACTCGCTCTATGTATCCAACAATCAAGAGGAATATATTGGAAGGAATGATTACTTTTAATGACAAGGTAAAAATGTGGAAAATGCTAGATAAACTAGAAGGTTGCAAATATTTTATATAGGTGAATAATAATTAAGCTCGAGTCGTATATGAACTGATATCCGACAAGCTCCCTAAGATCAAGTTGCATGGCTATTATATTTACCAAAATTCAGTATGCCTATCAGCATCCCCATCCTCCAATCTCGTATGTACCAAAATCCAGTATTCTCATGAGCATGTTACTGCATTTTGCTAAATATATAAGCGTGCTCGCGAGATACCAAAATAAGGTATGCTGTAAGCAAGCTAGCTCATATATGTACCATTTTTAGGTTTACCAACATTGTGTTGTGGAGGGACTTTGCAGTAAGCATGGCTGGTCATGGGAATTTAACTTGAGGGATATTTTCAGATGGTGCGACCTTATGGTCGAATGCCAGGTAGATGATTTGCGTGGTTTTAAATGCAGTCTGTTTATTTCAGGTAGTTAACAGACCTTGCCTAACAGACCTTGCCTACCGTATAGAAAAGTGATGTCAATTGTAGATAATGTTTACAAAATCTAAAACAGCATTTGACAGATTTTAATCAAACATGCATGAAAACAATATTAAAACTTATTCTGCATGCGTGAAATATTAGCTGAGCTCCATGGTTTGAATGTAATGTCCTTCATTTAGGGCGACTCCCACTGGAATCCAGCGGCATTTGTTCAAATGATTTATGTTGGCAGAATGAGAACAGATGTTTGCAGAAACCAGGTACTTATTAATGTGTGTATACATGTGGTTAAACTCACGAACGGTCTTGTGCCAGAGTACGTATATATAGTGACAGCGTACCAACATACCAGAAGGCTGCGGATTGAAGCTCCATACAGACCGGACGCGTCTGGCAACGCGACGCGAATTTTTAATTTTCAATGACATTTAACTTCAATATCTTTCTATGTTTTTCAAATATTCGGAACCATGCACTTAAGCAATTTGAGCTATTTGGTCTGCATATCTTGTAAAATTTTTATCCGTTGACGGTTTTATTTGCTTTTAGAAACTGAAAATTCGCGTCAGGTTGTCGAATCGCATTCGGTCTGTATGGACCTTGAGAGGGATTAAACTATACACGCGTAAAACGCACAAGTTGTAACAAACCTGCAGCAGACTCGTAGCAATGCTGTTCCAACAACTTGTCAACAAGATGTGTTCGCACTGCTTGTTTCCAGCTTTTTGACAAGTTGTCAACGGCTTGTCGACAACTTGCTGCAAGATTGTTGAGCTCAACATGCAGACTTGTTACAAGTTGTTCCAACAACTTGTTATCGTCCTGCAATTCAACATTTTGTCAACAAGTTGTGAGTGACAACCTTGTAGCAACTCGGTAAAATAACAACATTGTTACAACTTGTTGACAAGCTTTCTATACATGCCAGTTGCGAACACATCTTGTTGACAAGTTGTGAGATTTTTACGTGTGTAGATAAGTTTGCTTGTATTCTTCAGATAGTTGAGTCCATCTCAATCCATAACTTTCTGATGAACTTGTCATGGTTAGATCGTCGCATGCAATAGGACTATGTAGCCCAGTGGATATATGGCATGCACTGAACCAGAATTGCAGGAATGCATGTGCAGCTTCGAAATTTGCCCAAGGACCTATGATATAGTTGCATTTTGCAACAGCTCCCGATTAGGTCGAAAAAACTTTAGTTTTAATTAGAATTTATGCTTTGTTGTACTGTGCAAGATCCCCCCAAATTCATACCTGGTCTTCTGGAGAATTTAGATTGTCTGTTAAAGTACATTGAGCCTGCTTTCAAGTAAAACAGCCAAATTATCCTTCCTGAGTAACAAAGGAGTTAAATCGCGTATTGTGTTTAACTTCATTCCAGGTTTGGGAGTTGTGTTCCTCAGTTTTTAGTGTAAATTCAACAAAAGATGTTGCTACCCTCGTTCATGCTACACCCTCACATATTCAGGTGCATTTTAATGTTCATATTTTTTTTTTTAATATTTTTCGCCCAAAATACTACATTTACAAGGAATAGATATATATAAGAAATGGGCTAGGAGCCTACTAGAAACCACATGGCTTTTTTTTAGGCCCCTAGGTTAATTATTTAAGCTATATCAATAAATATAAGCTCGTGTCAGTTCGAGTGTTTTTCAGAGAATTAGTAAGGAAAAGAAGAATTATATAATACATATGAATATATATAATTATATTTACAGAAACATGTTATATTGTTAAATCTAGTTGTAAAAAGTACTTTTTAATTATTGATTTGAAGGAAGCATAAGACCTAGGTTCTTTATTTTTTGTGGGAAGATTATTCCACACATCTATGCCTTTATTGGCAAGGGTATGTTTGGTATAGTTTGTTCTATTACTCCTCTTGTGTAGCAACGAAGAATTTCTTGTGTTATGATTATGAATTTGCTTATTTGTCAAAAAATAGTTTATGAATAATTCTGGTAGATTCTGTAGATGAAAATACCGGAACATGAATATACTCGTTAAATAATAATTTATTTTATGTAAAATAATAATAATTATGTAAAATAATAATAATTTATTTTATTTTATATTCATGCATGCATGAAACAATTTCGTTTGGAATTGATGAAATCTATAGTATATATACACAAACTATATTTTTATACAATAATTCTCATTTTGTTAGGTTGGTCAGTGTTTGTTTCCAAAATGTGAATCTCACACCCAAAGTGGAACAGTTCAAACTGATCCGTTGTATATCCTTCATCGTACACTAAAACCTTTGGAAAGCCTCCTTACTTGCTTAAAAATGAACTGGCTTGCAATTTTGGTAAGTTTGTATTGTAATATTAATATTGTGATATTAAATTTGTGCTGTATTAAAATTCGTGCAGAACACAGTGGCGCGGCATTAAAACTGAATGAAAAATATTGTCGAAACCGCTAAATTTGCACGCGCGGGATTGATTTTATGTACCACATAATTCACTTTTTGGGCGGTTCGTGATCACTCTTGAGTTTCAACGGAATTCGTAAACAATTTTCAATGTTCTACTGAAAATGCCGTTTTCTGGTAAATTATCTTTTGAACTTTTTAAATGTAACATTTTTGCCTGTTTGAATGTGTGAATTCAAATGGCAAAATTTCCCAACATCACTCGTACTATTAATCCCTAATTGTACTCGCCATCGCATGATTACCTATACTAACTGTGTTTTTTCTAACCCACCCTGTCAACTTTCCCTGTGGAGGGAACCGGGGCACCCGGAGAAATCCCATGACTTTCGGCAGAGCGTTGACTTACTCTTTTCACAGGAGGTCAGGACTGCAAATTACTGTCGAACATCGGACAATGTCCAACTAAATTTGGCAAATGTCCGAGCAAAAGTAATTTTGGGAGGGTAGCTTAAACCAGACTGAAATCTCGGCTCTGGGTTGAGGTCAGCCCTGGGCTGAAAATTTTGTCATGTATAAGAGGGTTTTATAATAAGGCAGGGCTGAAATTTCAACCCGGTCAACAGGGCATGTAATCAGCCTCTTCAATATTAATCTGGGTTATAGGTTGGTCCAAAGTCGTCTTCTAAAACATCACTGGCCCGACTTGCAGCACAGTTGACTGGCACTAAGCTTGACGAAATGGCAATGAACAGCTCTATCGATACCACTGAATTATTGGGTGGATATGAACAGGTGTATATGCTTTATTTGTTTTGAATTTTATTTATAGCAGTTGTTACATTTATTGAAGTATTATAGCATTTTCTTTATGCTAGAGAGTGCACAAATCACATTGTTTTGTCTATACTTTGCTCATTTTGACACTTATTCCAAACATTATTTCGGTTAATTCATTGTTGGCCAAAAGTTCTGGTTACAGAATCGCAGCTTGTTGCCTTGTTCTTATAGTTGCCTCATTTTGATAGTTGCCTCATTCTGATAGTTGCCTCATTCTGATAGTTGCCTCATTCTGATAGTTGCCTCATTCTAATAGTTGCCTCATTCTGATAGTTGCCTCATTCTGATAGTTGCCTCATCCTGATAGTTGCCTCATTCTGATAGTTGCCTCATTCTGATAGTTGCCTCATTCTGCATCGCTAGAAATCTCGGACATTTGAATCCCGAAACATCCCTTACGTCTATGTCCCTTATTACCCCTTTCGATCCCTGAAATTTATTATTTTAAATATGACTAAAAACATTATTAAAAGGATTACAAAAACGATTATTACAAAATTTAAACATACTAAAACGATTAAAAAATGTAAACAAACAAAAAACAGAAGAAAAGAGCTTTCGAATGATATATTTTGGGTCATTTTTGCCTAAAAAATCATTGCCAAACCGCGACATTAGAACCTGATGATCGTGTCTAATAAACGAACCTTCGATTTTATGCAAACTTGGAATGAAGCAAATACACATTGACACCACAGATTAAGATATGCGAACAATTGTTTCGGATACTAATATCTGCATATTATTTAAATATTACTGCACATTTTTAAGTTGATCGATCATTAAGCCGTAATTTGACTTTGTAAAATGTGGATTATTGTCGTTTTGATAAATTAGTTAGAAATCCTGCCGCACATTTAATTGCGTTGTTGCCCAGTTTTAAGTATCGTAAATAATCATTATATTTTATTATTGGTTTTAGTTTTCTTTCTTATTCCCTTGATTAGTTCACGGAATTTTGTTTCCACAATGCACAATTTTAATTTAGTATGATTCTTAAAAGATATTTTATGTTAAAAGTGGATAACCATCTACATTCCTGATAAAATTTGAAAATAAGAGTGAACATGGGGACTGGGGCGAGAATGCATGCTGTATTCCAAATGTCCGCGATTTCTAGCGATGGGTAGTTGCCTCATTCTGATAGTTGCCTCATTCTGATAGTTGCCTCATTCTGATAGTTGCCTCATTCCGATAGTTGCCTCATTCTGATAGTTGCCTCATTCTGATAGTTGCCTCATCCTGATAGTTGCCTCATTCTGATAGTTGCCTCATTCTGATGGTTGCCTCATCCTGATGGGTGCCTCATCCTGAAGGTTGCCTCGTCCTGATGATTGCCTCGTTCTGATAGTTGCCTCATCCTGATGGTTGCCTCGTTCTGATAGTTGCCTCGTTCTGATAGTTGCCTCGTTCTGATAGTTGCCTCGTTCTGATAGTTGCCTCATCCTGATAGTTGCCTCATCCTGATAGCTGCCTCATCCTGATAGTTGCCTCATCCTGATAGTTGCCTCATCCTGATAGTTGCCTCATCCTGATAGTTGCCTCATCCTGATAGTTGCCTCATTCTGATGGTTGCCTCGTTCTGATAGTTTCCCCGTTCTTATAGTTGCCTCGTTTTGAAACATTTTAATCTTTTAAATGTTTTGCTTGTGTCGATAATTTTTTAAAATATAACCCTTGCACGAATTGTTTTGGTTTATGCATGCATTTTTTTCCTTCCTGTTTCTCCTGCACGATTGGGTCATTCTAAGAAGAAATCAACCTCGTTCTCAGACTTTTCCCTCTTGGGGAAGAAAGCAGCCTAGTCCCTAGGCCTCGTGTACGCCTATTTCGCGTTTCTGCATATTAACGAGGTGCTGCTTTTCTCCCCAAGAGGGAAGAGCCTGGGAACGAGGTTGAGAAGAAATGTAATATATTTTTCTAGTAAAAAAACTCCTCTTGATCACCTTTTTCACTGTCAAAGTTTGCGGATATGATGTCATTAGGTAAATTTAAGGCACAAAAAGCAAAGGAAAACTAATTTGCAATTCACCTAATGATATCATATCCGCAAACTTTAGCAGTAAAAAAATTGATCAAAGATCGGATTTTTTTATAAAAATATATTACATTTCGTCTTCGGATGACCCAGATATTATAGTACACATACCATTAATAATTCAAGCACGTTAGGTGAAAGAACAGCCCGAAAATAAGTAAAACGCACACCAAATCATTGTGGGAGATAGGGTTCAGGGTGAAGTGAACCAATTATATACATTATACTCTCAAACTCTGGTCAACCCAAAGACTCATTATAAGCCTTATGTTTTCATCCCGCAGGCGTATATATAAGACCTGCTAGGAGAGACTGAATGCTCCATAGGAGCTCTGCCCGAAGGGTAGCGACCCCCTCTGACATAGACCTGAACCAAGGGGTGATAATCCCCTTGGACAGTACCTACGATTCGACTGATTATATTTACATAAAAAACCTGAGTCTATGGGCCTGAAGTTGACCATTGGGAACACTTCAACCCCGAACCAAAATTTATTTGTTTGAACACTTAAGTATTTACATAGCGATAATTTTCCATGAGAAAATTGTTCGATAGTCTTTCTTGACAAATTGTTCTTGAACAGTCCTTGCATAACATTAGTTAGTACCCATACAATGCACCAGATACCAGGAACATGAACGGGTGGGTGGGTGGGAAATTTTCTTTCTCGGTAACAAGACATTGCTCTTTGTTGGGATATTTGTCAAAGTGAACTCCCTTATCACATTGACCTTTGTTCTGAGTGTTCGTTGTTGACATATGATTGGTCAGTTGATCTTTCATTCGGTTTTACACATGCCCAGAGAAACATTTGAACTTTGGACTATTGGATATCGCCTTTTTGTGGCTGTTGACAAGCTTATCCTGTTACTATGAGATTATAACTAGGTTTGAAGGTGACAAACGTGTTGTCTCATTAACTTTAATTTATATATTGTTATATATAAATTTGCTTTAATAATTTAAGCACGTTAGGTGAAAGAACAGCCCGAAAATAAGTAAAACACACACCAAATTATTGTGGGAGAATGGGTTCAGGGTGAAGTGAACCAATTATATACATTATACTCTCAAACTCTGGTCAACCCAAAGACTCATTAAGCCTTATGTTTTCATCCCGCAGGCGTATATAAGACCTGCTAGGAGAGACTGAATGCTCCATAGGAGCTCTGCCCGAAGGGTAGCGACCCCCTCTGACATAGACCTGAACCAAGGGGTGATAATCCCCTTGGACAGTACCTACGATTCGACTGATTATATTTACATAAATAACCTGAGTCTATGGGCCTGAAGTTGACCATTGGGAACACTTCAACCCCACAAATACACAGCATGTGTATTCCCCATAGACGAACTCCTACCACAGCTGTATTTGTATACAAGACAGCTGCTGCCAGATGATAGTTAGACATATATTTGGGTGTTACCATCACTCATACTATAGCTGGATAGTCAGGGAGGCCAGAAAAAACCTGGAATATACAGGAAACCTGGATGGGGCCAAGACAACCAGCAGCTTCCCCACAAAGCTTCTATCTTACAATTTTTTAATTGGAGGGTTGGTAATACGACAAACAAAGCTCACTATCGAGGCAAATTTTATTTATTTTTATTTAATTATTTTTTTTTTAAAGTTAATGTGTTCATGAATACGTTTTGCACAACATTTATTTGTTAACCACACTTATTTTATTTCAATTATGATCGGTGGAACTTTCTCGAATTATGTGACATTACTCTCAGAAAAATAGCTTATTCATTACTTTAATTCAAAATAGCAAGATCAAACTTTTGCGATCGAACATCCAATCATGCATGCATGATATTAGCAGAAAGAAATTGTAAGAATATGTATTTGGTAGTCAAAATAGATTATATGCAGTAAATAATAGTACATCAAAGGATTTTCATAAGCGTAGGCATACATGGTATCGTACCAATCTTTCCTGATATCCATCTTGCCGATTTATCGCAAATGTACCTAAACGTATATCATGTGCAGAGTTTTAGGTCTCAAATTTCGTTCACAAATGAGCTTGCTTTCTTAAGTTTTGAACAGTAAAGTAATGAAAATGTATGCAGGTCAAATTAATTTTGTGAAATAGCTGAAAAAGAAGTTTTATAATTCTACTTTTGAGCGATTGAATACAGTTTAATGTAAGGCCTGATTGAAACCCAATCCAACGCCAAATCTGAGGCGTAATCTGAAGCCTTAAACTGCGGCTAATCTCAAGGTAGAAATAAAATTGTCATTGGAATTTTTGATCGACAAATATAAATACACCAGAATGTTGTTATAAAATAGACGAATTTTAATACATTTTGGTTGGTTTGAGATGCGGAATACGAAACAAACGTGTCAATGCACCGCATACTTACGCGCCGAATACCGCTTCACTTTAGGAAGCATGTGCATTGAGACATGGAATGATATCAATTGAACGCTTGTTGATTTCGTGTTTAGCGGCTTTAGCCTATCGATCTTGTTGTTATTCCCCCAGCGGCGGTTTCATTTAATGGTAATAACTTCGTCGGGACTTGGACCAACGTATTCCTTTGTCCACCAGAAGAGTAAAAGCGCTTGTCCGGTAGAGTTCTATTTGAATAAACTGCGTCTCACCGAATTATCATACTGAGTTACTGACCAAATTTTCTTTAATATAACCATGATATGTCAATTCCAGCGTTCATAAACTCTTTTCTGTCACATTGTCTCAGTTCATTCGATGTCCGTAATTCTTTACAGCTCCACACCAACTCAAATTTTCAAATTTTCTTTCTCGGTAACAAGACATTGCTCTTTGTTGGGATATTTGTCAAAGTGAACTGCCTTATCACATTGACCTTTGTTCTGCGTGTTCGTTGTTGACATATGATTGGTCAGTTGATATTTCATTCGTTTTACACATGCCCAGAGAAACATTTGGACTATTGGATATTGCCTTTTTGTGGCTGCTGACAAGCTTATTCTGTTACTATGAGATTATAACCAGGTTTGAAGGTGACAAACGTGTTGTCTCATTAACTTGAATTTATATATTGTTATATATAAATTTGCTTAAATCATCGTATTTGTGGTTTGTCGCACTTTAACAACCATTTTTTTTCAGGCTGACTTAGAAAGGCAATGGACTGATATTAAAGAGAAAGTCATGGAAGAAATATTTCGTTTGTGCAGAAGTTTACTTCTTTCAAAGAATTTTGACAGCATCAAATATATTTTGGGTCAATGGTTTTCGTTTTGCAAAGGAGATGTTACAAAAGGCTTGCGTACGTTTTACCATTATTAATATGTAATTTTGTAAACTGGTGTGCTGTCGCATATTTTCTGTCAATAGTGTTAAACCACTGTAGGTATGCTAATTAATTGGGTGAGGTACAGTGTACTGCTTTCTCAAACCGCTAACTGAAACAATTGTCTTGCATATATTTATTAGCTGATGAATCTGTCAATCCTCATTCATCGGACATCTTGAATGATATTGCTCTGTTATCGGAAGTTATTGACGAAATGATCAAAGTTTGTCATGGTCATGACTTAAAGGATTTCAATTTTGGTAAGTTTATTGTTTTGAAATTTTCAGTACCTGGCAGAGTTATACAATTTAACAATCATATTTATTATATAAAGTATAGTGCTTTATGTACTATTTAAAGCACGCATAGGAGTGTTTTATCACACATAACACGCGAGGCGTAGCCGGGCGTTTTATATGTGATAAAACACGACTACAAGTGCTTTAAATAGCTTCAAAAATGACTCATCTTATACAAGTTTATTGGCGAAGTAATTTTTAAAATAAGCTTTGTCTAAACCGAGAAAATCAAAGCTACAGTTTATGTAAATTAACATGATTTTTTATCACATATAAAACCACGACACGCTTATGATTTTTCTTTGTGTTTTGCTCCTGAATTATTAATGAGTTTTTTAAAGATATTTCGAGCTCGGATAAAAGTGATAATCTCACATGTGAGATTATTTATGATAATCTCACATGTGAAAATTATCACTTTTCGGTGATCGCTTTTTTGTAAAAATTATCGCTTTTCAAAGACTGTCCTTTATATAATAAACAGAACTCGTGTTGAACATGATATCTAACTCGTTCGCTGCGCTCACTCGTGAGATATCATGTTCAACACTCGAAATAAATCTGGTATTTCCGCGCACCCATGTATTATTCTCTATTTAAAAACTTTTGTAGAGAGTTTACGAACAATTCGCAACTATTGCGAAGCATACTTAGAACAGAAGTGTCTTTCCTTTAACAGAGCGGTTAAAAGTACTGGTAACAGAATTACATGATGATTTAATTGAAAGGAACGGCAATTCTCATGTCAGCGGTCAATTTGAGTGGGTTGATGGCCAATTGGTAAAAGCTCTTAAAAACGGACATTGGCTTTTGATTGATAATGTTAACTTTTGTAGGTAAGTGTTCTAAGGTCTGTTCAAATTAAACGCTTTTTAGATTAATGCACTGTTAATTTCAGCGAGTTAACTTAACTCCGGTGGAGTTATACTGTACCTCAATTAACTCCAAATGTAGAGTAAAATTAGGTTCAGAATAATACCGCAGGAGTTAAATTTATTCCCCGAAATTTACAGTGTGGTTAACTTAAACATTGTATATTTATATAGTCCATCTGTTTTGGATCGTTTGAATGGCTTGTTAGAACCTGGTGGGGTATTAAGTATAAACGAGCGAGGCGTGATTGATGGAGAGATTCCTGTGGTAAAACCACATCCTGATTTCAGGTGAGTAATTTTCTTGTGCTTATGTCTGATATTAGGTTAAACTTTAATTTCTTGCTGTTTCATTTTATTTGCCTAATAAAATTAACATGTATTTTACAGAGTATGCTTCATGTATATCATTTGCAGGAAACCTTTTTTAAGTATAGAATCAATTTCTGCAAGGGGGCAAACCGAGCATGTGGAAGACTGGAATTCATGTTACTTTCTTTTTTCCAGATTGATTTTTGCTATGGATTCAAGACATGGAGAAATCTCACGAGCCATGAGGAATAGAGGCGTTGAAATTTTCATGATGCAGGAGGTATAAGGAATCGATATTTTTATTTATTATTTATTTTTTTAATTTTGCCCCCAAAATTACAGTAACAAATCAGAAA